ATTATATTCATTGAGGATTTTTGCCTCTCTGTTTATGTGAGATACTTGCCTATAATTTTCCTACTTCTTGATTTGAATATAAAGATAATGCTGCCCACAAAAATGAAGATGTTTTCTGTCAGCTTTTATTTTCCAGGAAAGATTATATGTGATCAAAATTATTTCTTCTTTAAATACTTTATAGATTTATCAACTGAAGCCATCTCGTTCTTGTGCTATCTTTTGGGAGAAGTTAATAATTACTGATTTGATATCTTTAATAGACAAGCTCATCAGATTTTTTTATTTCTTCTTGTGTGAGCTTTGCTAGTCCATGTCTTTCAAAAAATTGGCCCATTGCATCTAAGATTTCAAATTTGTCATTATGGAGCTGTTCATAGTATTTATCGTCTTTTTAAAATATAAATGGGATAAGTAGGAGTGAGCTCTCTTTTTTCTCCAATATTTACTTAATCTTCAAAGCAAAAGAATTAGGAGGTACGACCTAACAAGGGATGATTAGGTAATAAAGGGTCCGACTTTATGAATATGCAGTTCTGACGGGAATGGGTTATACTACCATGACGGTAGTCTTCTTATAACAAGTCTGGCCCCTCTTGCTCACTCTTGCATTCCCTTTCCCTTCTGCCTTCCACTTTGGGTGCTACAGTACTGAGACCTTAATTTGATGTGCAGCTGTTGAGCATGGAATTCCCAGCCTCCAGGACGGTAAGAAATAATCAACTTTCTAGCTAATTTAGTTCACAAGGAAGGAACTTTATCACCTTTCCTTTCCACAAGATATCACTTCTCCATGACATTGTTGACATTGTGCTGATTGGACCCAGTGAGCAAGAAATAGAAATCACTCTGGATTTATTGTTAAAATATGTGAATGTCAGAAGATGGAAAAATAAATCCAATAAAAATTCAGGGACCTTCTATCTCAGTGAAATTTCTAGGGCTCCTGTAGTGTGGGTAGTGTCAAGATAACTCATCCAAGTTATTGTATGTGGCTCCTCCTACAAGAATATAAGGGGCACAGTGCCTCATGGGCCTTTTTCAACTTTGGAGGCAATGTATTCGTTATTTGGAGTGTGACTCAGGCTCATTCACCAAGCCCTCTGAGAGGCTGCTGGTTGTGAGTGGGGTACTGAACACGAGAAAGCTCTGCAACAGGTCCAGACTGCAGTGCAAACTGCTCTGCCACTTGGGCCATGTGATCTATAGATCTACTGGCATATCAGTGGCAGAGAGAGGTGCTGTTTAATGTCTTTGGTAGGTATTTATATGAAAAGCACAGATCTTTAGGATTGTGGAACAAAGCCTTGACATCCTCCAAAGATAACTCCTATTTTGAAAAGGAGCTCTTGGGTTTACTCCTGGACCTCAGTAGAATCTGAATTATTTACCGTGTGTCACTAAATTACCACATGACCAGAGCTGTGCATCATGAATTGGATGTTTTCTGACTCACTAAACCACAAAATTGGGTACACACAACAACAATCCATCATTAAGTGGAAATGGTATATACAGGATCAGCCCCAGACACAAGTAAGTTGCACAAAAAACGGGTTCAAATGTCTATTGCCCATGCTTCTACTGTATATCTCTCCCCTGGGCTGCAACTATGACAGACTCATGGAAAGTTCCCTAAAATCAGTTCTCAAATGATTCAGGCCTGATTTACAAATTATCCTGCACCATATACCATCCAAAAGTAGACAGCTTCAGTACTTGGCCCCCTTCTGGAGCATCTGTGGTGAAAGAAAAAGTCTTCCCCGTAGACAGAACATTGAGCACTAGGTTGTTCAGTCTGCTCGAATAAGCGGCCAGATATGGGATCATGTACCAGATTCATAGGCTATGGCCAGTAGTTTGACTGAATGGCCAATGACTTGTAAGGAACATGATTGGAAATTTGGTGACAAAGAAATTTAGGAAAGAGGTGTTATATCTCTCTAAAAATGAAAAGCGTGAAGACATTTGTATCATATGTGAATGATCACCAAATAGTGATTTCAGCAGAGAAGATTCTTCATAGGCACGTAAATAAAAGACAACTAGCCTTTTTTCCCAGTCACTCCAACAGGCTCTTGAACAGAGTGTCCATAGTGGAAAGGATAGATGTTATGCACCGGTTTGATGGTATCAACTCCCACTCACCCGTGCTGACATAGCTACGGCCACTGCGAAGTCTCCAGCCTGCCAGCAGCAGGCACCAACACTGAGTCCCTGCCTGGCACTATTTCCCATGATTGGCCAGCTACCGGATGACGGGTCGATTACATTGAATCACTCCTGTCGTGTAAGGGGCAACACTATGTCCTCCCTGGAAGCAACACTCTATACAAATAGTGCTAAAATAATTTCTTATTCACTGTCGCGGTATTCCACACTGTATTTCTTCTTATCAAGGAAGACAGTTCATAGCAAAAGAAGTGCAACAGTGGGCCCGTATCCATTTACTGGCATTACCTTCTTCTCCACTATCCTACAGCAGCTGGTTTCATAGAATAATAGAATGAAATTCTTTCTCTCCTTTTTCTTTTCTTTTGTGTTTGTCTTTGTGTCTGTGGGGAGGGGGTCCTGGAGATCAAATTCAGTGGTGTTCTACCACTGAGCTATATCTCTTACTCTTTTTTTTTTTTTCTTTTCTGGGACAAATTCTCACTAAGTTGTCTAGGCAGGACTTGAACTTGTGATCCTTCTGTTTTGGCCTCCCTTCTTCCTAGGATTATAGACTTGTGCCCATCTTGGAATGACCTTCTTAAGACTCAGTTACAGCATCAGCTAGATGGCAAAATCTGGCAGAATTGAGCCAAAGTTCAAGGCTACATTTGCTTGGAATCGATGTCCAATATGCAGTGCCCCTTCTCCCATAGCTAAGATTCAAGGGTCTAGGAGCCAAGCAGTGGAAATGGGAGTGGCATCATTGTGGGAAAATATGAAATACATCTCCCAACCCATTATCTGTATGATATGCCCAGTTCTTGTTCTCTAGAAATCAAAGAACGAGTCCTAGGAATGATGGAGGTTTAAGGTAGGAAGATATTTATTGATAGGAAGCCTCCTGAGGGAAAAGAGGGGTCCTGAGTGGGTACCCCTAAGAGCCCACCTTGCTGAGAAGTTTTCTAGGGTAAAAGCCATGTGGGTACAATGGGGGCCACAGCCATGAACATCCAGTAAGGCTACAAGTACAGTCACTTTGGCAATGGAGGTCCAACGGGGAAGCAAGTCACGTAGTAAGGGTGCATGGAAAGAACAAGGGTTCTCCTAGGAGGCTGTAGGTCCAGAGGTCTCTGGTCACCCCAGGGTGGTCGATGCCTATCTGTACTGCACCTAGCCCAGTTCTATGAAGAAGTATGTGGGTCTGGTCATCTTGTTTCCATCTAGAGGCCTGGTTTTCAGCTGATGTGCACCTGTGGTGTGTTTCACCTTTGTCCGGGCCCTCTCAAGGACCGAGCCCTATCTGACTGCCTATAAAATTTCTACCTAGCTCATCTGTCTATAATGTCATCAGTCAATAGTAAACCCTAGTGACCCCCTAGCAAATGTTTGCTTCCAGTTCTATGACATTATACACTACTGGCCAACAGGCAGGAATACTCCTGCGAGGAAGTACAATTAATCCAATGAACATGAGACACATGATCATCCAGCAAAGGTCCTAAGCATCTACTTCTTTGAAAACTCCCCAAGTGATGTTAATGTGCAATGTGGATTGAGAACAAGTGCTCCGCTCGGGGCACAACGGCGAGCACTATAGAGCTGCAAGTAAATTTGAGGAATTGGAGAAAGTAAGAAAGCCCATGAGATGGCTTTAGCTTCATCCATTACATGGTGAGGAGATGTCATCAGCTGAGAACGAGGGAGATCCAAACTGTCACAGGGTGGGAAGTGGGGACTCTATAAAATAATGCTTATTGAGAGAGGAGACACATTTTGACTTAAAAATTATACATTACCAGGTTGTGTGCTTAAAGTTATATGCTTCAGAAATATTAAAGTTTTTCAAATATTAAATTTCTAATTTTAAATAAATGTACAGCTAAAATAAAAGGAAGTAAACAACATAAAATGACATCAACTTCTTATGCTCTTTCTCCCTTCTTTGTCTATCCTGTATTTAAGTTTAAAAAATTAACTTTTGCTATATGTATAATGGAAGAAATGATGATTTTTAGCTTTGTTGAGGTATAACTGATACACAAAATATTGCATACTTTTAAGGTTCACATATTGATGGATTTGGATATGTACGTAGGTATGCGGCTCCATCACCATAATCAAGTTACAAGACATCCATTGCTTCCCAAAAAGCATATTTTAACTTTCAAAAGATAATAAAATAAATGATAACTTCACAAGCAGGAGAATTTAGGAGCACTGTGTTAGTTGGCTAGAACTGCCAAAATAAAGTACCACAGGCTGGGGGTCTTAAACAACACAAGTTTATATCCTCAATATTCTAGAGGCTGAAAAATCTAAGATCAAGACCTCACCGGGCTGGCTTCTTCCGAGGCCACCCCCTGATTTTTAAATTTTATGTATGTATTTATTTATTCATTTATTGGTACCAGGGATCTAACTCAGGACCTTGCACTTGCGAGGCAGGCGGTGGAACCTCTGAGCCAAATTGCCGGCCCTCCCCTGATGTGTAGATACCTCTCTCCTGGTGTCTTCATACAGGTCTCCCTCTATATATGTCTGTGGCCAACTTTCTTTTTTTTACAGAGTCACCAGTCATCTTAGATTAACACCTGCCCTAACGATCTCCTTAGAATTTAATCACTTCCTTAGAGTCTCTACTTCCAAATACAGTCATATTCCGAGAGCTGGAACTTTAAGACACAAATTTGGGTGACAAGTGATTCCACAGGTCACAGGCACTGAGAGATTGTAACACCAGTCCTGGAGTTTCTATTCTTTTTGTACTGTAGGTGGTTTTTCTCCCTGCCTTCTTAGCTCTTTGACCTAATACTCGTGTGGTAAACATTTTTTCATCATCGTTGACATTTATTAATAATGTCCTGTAATGTTGTCTCTTTAAATGTTTTCTATGCTACCAAATCCAACTAATTACGTTACCAAGCAAAAGTGAAACCCCGCTGTGTCTGCATTCCTACTTCCTGGTTTTGCAAGGACCCTCACACGCCTGGGCAGACGCTAGACAACTTCATCACTTCGGGGCTTATTGTCCTTGCCCTTGTTTTTATTCAAAGATCTTTCAAACTGTACATCTCCTAGCCTTCAGAAGAGAAATTAGAAAGCAAGTTTAAAATGGCCAGAGTCAAGTTTCTGATGTAAGAAGAAAAGGTTTTCAGGAAATTTCTGGTAAGTTCCCAAGTCATTAAAACTTTAATTGTTACATGTATGAGGGGACAGTAGCTCTTAATGAAACAGGTGTATTTTATATTAATACGTGTTTGTGCATAAACCATTACTTGTAAAAAAACATTAATTAGAAATATCAGGGTTTTAAATGCTCTCTGGATCAAGTTGCTAATTAAGCGACAATTGTAAGTGCTTTTCTGGAAAGAACCGTACCATGGAGTGTAATTAGAATTGGGAGAACTAATACAGATAGTGAGAGGGTTTCTGGTAGCTGCTGATGTCCGGGGCGAGGGGTGGGGAATAGCAAAACAGTACAAAGGAATTTAAGCCTAAAATTGTGACAGCTTCACTGGTCCTGTGTAAATATGCAAAATTCTGCCTTCCATGACTTAAGATAGTATAAACGTTTTACATTCCATCAAAGATAACACCCCTCAGAGGATAGCTATTCTTCTATTTAATCCTTCATTCATTGCTACTGTATTTCATACAGCAATCTGATGTAAAGTTCAAGTGAGGGAAACGAAACTAACTTGCTCTTGAGTGGCTTCAGTTGCTCAGAGCACCACTAGAGGGCGGGGAGCCGTTCTAGGACGCAGCAAGGACTGGGAGAGTCTTTGCCCCTTCAGCAGCAGTAAGAGCGTGAGGCCTCCTCTCAAGGAAGATCTGGGGTCCAGCGATGGGGGTGGACTCCCGTGCTTGTCCCCGAGGGTTCTGCCGACTTGGCACTTACTTGTTCAGTATCGAAAAGAGAAACCTGGAGTATTCGCGTGAGAATGGTGTTCTGTAGCAGCTCTTTTCAATAATTAGCATTACTAAGAAAATTTATGTTCACAGTTGTTTCAAAACAGAAAGCTGGGAGCCTCCAGCAAGCCGAGAGTCATCAAGGTGTTCACAGAGTTTACCCGCCCGTCTTGATCTTTACTTGGTTCCAACATTATAGAAGCAGATTCTTTTAAAATTCATAAAGCGCAGGGTCAGGGATGTATCTCAGTGTTACCTGCACCTACCTCACAAGTACAAGGTCCTGGGTTCAATCCCCCATACCAGAAAAAAAAAAAAAAATTCAAAAGTGCAAACTATTTTAAAAGCTTTACTGAATAGGTTCAATTTACTGCATCGTGTGTTAAAGTCATATCTGTTTTTAAAAATGTGTTAACTGCTATCTTTTTAAAGAGACAGGGCTGAAAAATGGGGGACATTATTATAATAGATTTGAGAGTATCACGGAAGAGTCTAGTAAATCATATTGAGACAAGATATTGTCAATTTTTCTATTTAAAAGAGGAAAAGACTCCAGATTTGGGGACTAAATGTCAGTTCCCCTATCTATTGGTAGTCTGGGCATAAGTAGTAGTGCCATGAGGTCAGATGGTGTTGGCTCAATTGGCAGCATACCCTACCCTAGACAGACCCAGAAGTCACTGCCCAGAGGTCCTAGAGCTGTTAAAGAAGGAGTTGCTGTTTCACTGCTTTATTTCTAGTAGGTTAGGTCCTACGTCCTATTGGACTTGCTGTCTCCACTTGCCGAGAGAGAAAATCTGGGATCTTCCCACTCAGTCTTCAGGCTATCCAGGGAGATGGTAGATGGTTACTTTGCCCAAAGGGGACACTGGCTGAAAAGATGTGCAACTTCTGACCTGATCATGGTGTGTGTGGAAAAGGACAATTCCTTCACCAGGAGATAAGCTCCTAGGGCAAAGGTGATTGTAGCAAAGGACTGAGGCTCCGACAACAAGAATTGTGAGTGACACAGTAGGAAGCTCATGTGTGTTATGAAGCTGGGTGTTGCTTACAAGGACTGCAGGATAAGACATGCTTATTAATTTTCCTTCCCTTATCATAAACTTCTTTTTCATTTTTGCGATCAGTTGGTCTAAGGAGTGGCTCACTCCCTAGATTGCTGTCTGGGATTCTGGTGAAGTAATAACCTCAGTAAAATGAAGAAAGTCTTTATACTTACAGACATTGCTACCATGAGGGTTTTCATAAGTTCACTGTTTTTAATAACTTTAAGAAAATATATTACACGTTCAGCACATTTTTGTTAAGAAGCTAAAATGAGACAGGCATTTATAAAATAATGAACCAAATGTACAAATCCCTTGTCCTCCTAGAATGCACAGAAAGGTGAAGGAGATAGGATATACACGAGAGAAGGAGTTAAGAATATATAAAGAGGTAAGACTACTTGGTTGTGGTAAGTCCTCAATAAATTAAAAATAAGGCCAGAAGAAGAACAGGGATTGTTGAGAGATCCGAAGAAACTTTCTGTACGCTAACCAAGCAGTACTTCATGGAGAAGGTGACATTTCAGGGAGGGGTGAGCCCTGCAACGAGGACATTGCAGGGAAAGGAGACGAGCACGGTGACCTGAAATGGGAGCAGAAGCGCCTACAACAAGGAGTAACAAGGACATCATAGGCCAGACCAGATGTGAAACAGAAATGAAAGTAAGGCGTAGTATCGAAGGGGTAGCAGGGTTCCAGATCACGTGAGGCCCTGTAGTTCATAATACCAACCTTGGCCTTGAGTGGGTCCGACGGAAAGCCCCTGGAGGGGTTCTGTTATGTTATTTACATTTTATCGGGGTCACATGGCTAGGATTTTGAGAAGTCCCTGAATAACAGCAAAAGGCAAACCTGAGGAGGAGCTATTCTTGCAATCCAAGAGAGACAGTGGTGGTCAGACCCTAGATATATGTTGACCAGCTTAAGACTTGCGCCACATTGAGTATGGGATACAGGAAGAGAGAAAAGATGCCTGACACACATGTTGGCATGTTCATTTGCTATATTAAAAGTAAGTGAGCATAGGAAAAAAATGTCATCGAGGATTTTCCTTTCACTATTCTTTGGCATTTATTTATATTTGAAAATATTCAGAGTAGAAAGTTAAGGAGGCAATCCATACCATAAACACTTCCGAAGCAATAATCCAATCAATTGCATTTTAATTTGCTGTGATATTGGTTTTTGTTTTTATTGTTTGCTTTTTGATATAATAGGTTTTCAAAAATTTATTCTCAGGTGAACCATGCCTACATCTACCTACATCTCTCTTCTCTCACTGATTTACTGAATGTGACTTGCAAATTCTCCAGAAAATGGAACTAATCTAAGAGTTCCAGATCGAAGAGCCTCACAAAGACATATTTCAAGTTTCTAATACAAAAAGTAGAAGTCTTCAGAGAAGCCTTGGTAAGTATCTAATCATTAAAGACTTGTTTAATCAACCTTACCTTAAAAGCCATCATTAGAAATTAATTTTAAAAAACAAAATATACCTTAAAAAAGGAATATATGTTCAAATGTACTTAAGCTATTTCTTATGAAATGTATGAAATGATTCAAAGAGGAATGAGAACTATCACAGCTTTCATGTATATATCACCAGATATGACTGGTGCTGATTTTAAAATTCTTGAAAAAGAACACTTTCAGCAAAGATGGTGAGCAAGCAGACTCTTTCTGGAAGTGCAAGGCTCTAGGAATCTGATGAGAAGATCTAGGTAAAGTGTAGACCATAAGATGAGGAATCCAAGTGACATAAAGAATGTCAATTTTTGACAAACCACGTTGAAAACTATAGCCAACTACAAATTCTGTCCTATGAAACTTAAGATACTGTCAAAAGTTTTCATCTAATTGAAGAGAAATGCCTCTAAATCTTAATCATCATTTTATTTAAGGCTTTATTTCTGGACTAGTGTGTTTATAATCCGCATGAAGAAATGAGTCATTGTAAAATGCAGTGTAGGAAAATGAAACTGAATTCTTTGTGGTTTCCCTTACACCAACATCAGTGCAGGGTGGGGCTCGTTGGGCTCCAGCCAGACAGCAGGCAGAGCTGCTCAGACCTGGCTTCCCAGGGTCCAGACGGGTGCCTGCACTGGCCCTGGAGGTGTGCTGCTTTGATCCTGCCCACTCAGCCCCAAAAAGCAAATAAAAATCCTTAGAGTATCCTAAGTACTAAGAAGGAGAACTCTGGGTTTCAAAATTGCCCGTTTATGTGAGGATAAGGTGCAGGTCTTCCTCAGAGCTCCAAGCTGCAACACCTTCACACCGCTCAATATGGCAGCAAAGTTGAACAAAAACCAACACAAAAGCCGAGACAGTATTGGTTCTCATCCAATTCCCTTCCGTTATAAATGGGAAAACCAGGTGGTTGAGAGGAAAACTAATTTAATTTATTTTCCTGATCACAACTTCTTCCCCTTTATACATACCATGTAGCTTTGGGTTTGTTTTTTTATTAGAACATGTTTGCACTACATGATAGTTATATCCATCGTGAGGAGTTGGCACATGGACTTAACACATCTTAATTCTTTCTACTTCTCTTTCCCCTCCCCACTTTCGTCGTCTCTGCTGTGTAATTTTTTTGATGTTAACATCAATGTCCCTCATATTTAAGAAAAAATGCCAGTGGTCCAGGATACAAAGTTTGAAGACATGGAGAGAGCCAAGGAACTATGACAAATCATTATTCAAATCTTTCTGCCCAACTTACCATTACCTTGAATTTAATACATAGTTTCAGCCAACTATGGAACATGGACCATATACAATGCTCTTACAATTGACAGAAGGCAAAAGTCATGAGAAATGGGTATCAAATATATAGTGTACAAATCAAATCATTACTGTTTGTATCTTCTCAGCTAGTATCACAGAAGTGAGTGGCTGAGAAATGTTTTGATGTTAGAAAGCAATCTTCATTTTTTTTTTGTTTTGGAGGTGGGGGAAGGTTATTGGAAAAAGAAGAAGAAAATAGCTCCTGGATTTCCAGAAGGAGGTCTCGCAGGGGTGGCTACATTCCCCCGCCCCGCCCCCCATCCAGAGCAAATTACAGATACACAGAACCTGCCGTGGTATTGCTCAATTGTTTAATGGTCCTCTATCACAGGTGGTTCTGTGGACTTAAAATGACCAACTGGGACTTGGGCTTTGAACCCAGTTCTTCAACATGTAGGATTTACAGGAAATGGGGATCTTAGGGGGAAAAAAACAGTTAATTTGCATTACAATTTTCTCCAAATTCAGGAGCTTAGTAGGAAATGGCTGCACCTCCCTTTAGTCGGGAGTGGCTGCATTCCATATTGTCTGAAGAATATCATTATTGGTCCAAAGTCTTGGTTCACTATTCTTCACTTTTATCAATATCTCTATCTGGGGCCCTTCCAGTAAGTAGCTGCCTACTTAGAAGTGAACTAAATAAACTGTTTTCTACATTTTACTCTCTGAAGATGTACCCTTACCTGCCATTAAAGATGAACAGACAAAGACCTAATCTAGTGGCTTTGTGCTGCAAGGGTACATTGAAGGGAGGATGGCAGTCAGGACTTTCTCCGGAGAGCTAATCTGAGGAGCCTCTGATAGATGTTGGGGTTCAGCAGTTAGGGACTCTTTTTCAGAAGGTTGATCTAGTAGACCTCAGTAAAAGGAACTTGGCACACTCACCATCCAGCCTCTAAGCAAGAAGAAATAAATTTTACTAAGACATTAAGAACGCATGGTTCAAACATAAAAAGCAAAATGACAAGACAAAACTGGGGAAGAAGCCAAGTCTAGACACTGTTTATAAGGGATTGTAACAGGGATTGTAGCCAGCTGTGTCCTGGACCTGCCTGTTTAGGAAGGTTACCTGTAAGTCTGATATTTCTTTTATTTTGATGTGAATTATTTAGCTTGAGACAACAAGTCCCTCTAGTTTTAACTGTAAAAGACGAAGAGCTCTGTGGTGTTGAAGGATAATTTTAGCTAAGGAATTTAAAGACTCTGGTTGAGTTTTTATAGCTGTTACTGTGGCTACCTAGCTTCAATGAACCATAATATTGGTCAAATACAGGTGTAGCTGGAGATTACCAGCAGGGGCCAGTGTAGTTATTAGAGCTCTCTTTTTTTTTTTACATCTAGCCTATATTACTACTTTTTATATATCTTTTGGTTATACTTTTCTGCTGGTTGTTTAATGCCAAGTTAAAGTGAGATCTGTGTTAATCAAAATTAACCTCTCCCTAACGTATCAAAATCAGTTAAGGCTCTTAAGGGATTACTTTGGGAACCACATACAGAACTCTTAGCTCCTCTGTCACAGTCAGATACCAGAAAGGCTCACGGTCTTCCTGTGGAAGCATGGGAGATGCTTCTCTCTTTAGTGACCTTCCTTTGTGCATAGTATACATTGGTTCACTTTAGTCCTGTGAGGTCCAACAACCTCAGGAGGTTTGGTGACTCACCAGAGCTGTAGTATCTTGTAGAAAGGTCCTTTCACATTCTGGGTTCTTGTCGACCTTGGATGGCTAGGGCCAAAATACTAGTTGTCCTCTAATAATCCTTTTAGCTTTGGTCTCCAAACCTCAGTTGTTGAACACCCAGGACATGTTATACCAGCATTGCAGTAGGAGCAATAAGTTTAACTATCTTATCTAGATATCAAGCACTTTGAAATATAAAATATTACTGGAGAACTTATTTTTTTTACCAATTGTGGTCATCTTAGAAGGCAAATTCCTATAAAATGTTAAGAAATAATAATTATAAACTTTTACAGAGACGATTTGAGATCAAGGGCAACTTAGCATTTCAGCATGACAACCATATGACATTATTATACTAGAGCCATTAGATTTTTTAATCTTTGAACTATTTAAATTTTCATTTTAATATAAAATACCTTATCTTTAATTACAAAATATTAAATGACATAAAGAACTTTTACCTCAGTTTGTTATCTTTTAATAGAGTGACGTTTAAGTGGAATACACTAGTTTATAGATGTGACAAATTATCAGTGCCTAATCTCTAATTATTGTGTGCAATGTACAGTGTACAGGTACTTCTAACTGTCGTAACACAATTACATAACACACAAGCATAAGCCTGTACATCTATCTACATTATTTGGCTGGGGATCTCATATTGTATCAGCATGCTCATTTTATCACAGGTTGCTGGAAAAACGTAAGGGAAAGCCAGATGCTTGAGCCTGAAAAAGTTTATCACCATAGTTCACCACTATAACAGGATAGTTTTTCAATTTTTCACCTTTGAAGACCTGTACACTTGGGAAATATAAATACATTTAACATATCATGAGGTTAGCAATAATTAGCCTCATAGCTATAAAAAAATTTGTACATGTTTACCAAGTTTTCGCTCTTAAGGCAAAATTTAGACTCCTTTAATTGGTGCAATTGTACTGACAAGAATTAAGGACATCTTTAGAGCTTTTATAAATTCAGGAAATGGTGTTGATGGTCACAAGTATACTTATCACCCTATATACAAGTATATCTCATTTATATAATAACAAACTGCTCACTTAAAGCAGTACATGTAAATCAGGTTTTAAACTGCAGGACCAAATATAAAGAGAAGCCAAATTTTAATCATGCTGTACATCTACGATCTAGATGTATATTGTATAAAAGACAGAAGCTATTGGTTACTTTGAATGTATTAACCTTGGGTACTTTTAATTTTATAAACTTAAAGCTTAGACTCACAGCACATCTTGTTTTTAGATGTATCTCTAGTACCAGATACATAGGGTTCTGTCAAAGATAACTGTTGTTTATTTAACCAATCATAAACTGATTATTGAAAACATTTTACAATTCAGAATTTAAACAATCTTGAACTCTTAAGGCTCAATTTTCGACTAACCAAAGTCCTAGCAATAGAAACACAAAAAACTACATTAGTAAAATATAGAAACTTTGCCTTTTAATCTAACATTGTCAATTTAACCAAGAGCATCTTGATATCCTTCTGTTTTTTGGGGGCTTTTGGGTTTTTTTTGGGGGGGGTTGTTTGTTTGTTTTTGAGACAGTGTCTCACTATGTAGTTCAGGCTGGCTTTAAATTCACTATGTAGCCCAGCTTGGCCTTGAATTTATGGCAATCCTCCTCAGCGTCCTGAAGGAGTGCTGGGATTATAGACCTGTGCCACCACACCCAGCTCGAGTGTCTCAATGTCTTAATAATAAAATAACAATAATAAAACCTTATTGTTTTAGACATAAAAAGCTTAACCTTTTAATTTTAGCCAACATCAATATATTATAATAATTTATTTAGTAACCATTGGGGTTGCCACCATAAGACAGTGGGAAAAACCAGACAAGTCACCCATCAGTTGAGAAAACAACAAATTTGTCCAGACAGCTACTTTTTCAGCCACAGAGAGTAGTTTTG